GGTGCTGTGGGGAGGCTCGGTGCATGCAGCCGCCCTCTGCAGTCGCCTGCTGAAGGCAGCGCCAGACCCGGCCACCGCGGACCGCAGCGCGCAAGGCTGGGGAGCGGCTGGCTGCGCTGCGGTGCTGCTCCGCCCCCTGCCGGCCGCGCGCCTCGCTGCAGGGTGCGGGCGCCGAATGGTCCCAGCGCGGTGCGTCTGCAGGAGAAGGCCAGGTCCCTACCCAGCTGGATTGCCTGTCTCCTTGGGCTAAGGAGCCTTGACTTTGCTAAAATAATAATGTACGGGCATAACAGGGAGGCGGAGTTCTGATATCCTTTTTCATATTTTGGTTATACTAAGAAAAATATCTTGTTTTCTTTCATATGGCGGCCAGGAGGAATAAACAGAGGTGGCACTAAAGTAGAAGGAGGCCATTAGGGCAGAAGAAGAGGATCAGGGAAGAGTGGGGAGCGAAACTGATAAATCACGTTTTTATGTATATAAAAATATGCCCCCAATGAAACCCACCCTTCTGTATAAATAGTTTGTGCCAATTAAAAAAAAAAGCTTCCTTAAAGAGTTTGCTGTTGCTGTTTTTTCAGAAAACACGACGGATCTAAAGATATTGGGGGCATTTAAAGAGAGAAATCTGTATGAGTGATATTTGCAAGCAGCACAGGGGGTTTCTGCAGTAACATCTTGGAGCTCTGGGGAACAACATGTGATCGTGGCTCAGGAGGGGTCCGGGTATTATATGCCTGTACTTTCTCTGGAAGACCGGAGATGCTACCCAAAGCTGCAATTGTTCATACAGCCTCATCCAGCAACCCAGCTTCAAGTATTCTATTGCAAGAAAACAACCCAAAATATGAAAAATGTAATGCATACTGGTATATGAATAACAGTCTTCAAAAGATTGTTCAGTGTTCAACAATAGAAGAAAAGTTGAAGTTAAGGCTCATTTAGAATGTGAAATATTAAGGCAGGTGGGGTGGCCCAGGCCTGCAATCCAAGCACCTCAGGAGGCTGAGGCAAGACCCAGGCTCAAGAAAAAAAAAAAAAAAAGACTGGAGATGAAGCTCAGTAAGTAGTTAGGTGCCCCTTGGTTCAATTCCAGTATCAATCAATAAATACTCATAACAATAATATCACAAAGGCCTGAATTTTTTAACAGTAATAATAGGAGAAAAATTATGTCCAAGAAAATATAGAATATCTACGATGCAATGTTGAATAAAGCTGGGAATGAATGCTGGAATATAGCTGAACTAAAGGGCTGCAGTTAGAATCTAAAATCCTATATTACTATTTTTTTTTACTCATTACACAGTGAATACAAGAATGCTTTTTTAAAATCCACTTAAACAGCACGGAAGTATATAAAGCAAGTGGCGGATCCCATTCCCTTCTTGCCCATCTGTCTGCTCCCTGTTGATAAACTGATGTGAATACTCCAGATGTTCTTCCTTGGACATACACACATTATTATATATAGTGTCATTTTAACATAAAAGTGATATTTCTTGTTACTTTTAATTTTTTAAAACCATGTACTATACTTTTCTAGATCCATAAATACAGAGTTACCTCACTGTTTATAACTACATAATGTGTTCTACTCTATTTCTTAGTTGATAGAAATTTGTGTGACCTAAACTTTATAAATATAATTCTAGCTAGGCGCAGTGGCACACATTTATAATCCCAGCAAGTTTGGAGGCTGAGGCAGGAGGATTACAAATTTGAGGTCATCCTCAACAATTTAGAGAGACCCTGTCTCAAAATAAAAGAATAAAAAGAGCTGGGGATGTGTCTCAGTGGTAAAAGTAACCCTGGGTTCAATACCCAGTTTAAAAAAAAGTTAAAAATGATAATTTTGTAAATCACCTCTCGTATACTTTTGTTGGTGCACCTATTATTAAATTTAAGTTTCTTTTCATTTATTGATTGGCCGATTGTATTCCTTAGACAATTTTCTCTTCATCTCCTTTGCCATTTTTTCTATTTCATTGCTTACATTTTACTATTTATTGTAGGAGTGCTTTTTATTGAGATTTCATTAATTTTAGGAATCAATACAGCACAGAATATTTCTATCCCGGAAAGTATGTCTTCCCAATTCTTCAGATCTTTTATATTCCATGACAAACTTTCATTATTAGTTTCTTTCCATCTTGTACACTTCTTGTTATAATTTATATCTGTCTTCCCTGGGGAAGACGTTTCTAATGTTTATTTACATAACTGAAAAGTTTTTCAATTGGAATAATTACCAGCTGCAGTTGAAACCCTCGAAGTTTCTTAAGCTGATTATGATCTGTCAAATGATAACACAAAGCTCTGTAAACATTACCTGCTCACTTGCTTGTATACACGAGAAATTAATGGATTGATTTAATTGCTTCTAACATGTCAAAAGCAGGATTTAGATATCGTGTTAATCAGAGTTTTGTGGCTGTGACCAAAACACCTCACAAGAAGAACTTAGAGGGAGAGGGTTTGTCTTATTTGGTTTCAGAGGTCTCAGGCCAATGGCCAGGGCTCTAAGGCAGCACGTCTCGCCAGAAGGACAGCTGCTCAGCTCAGGCGCCAGGAAGCGGCAAGAGAGAAACAGAGGGGGCAGGGTGAGGGACAGATATAGTCCCCAAGGCCACGCCCCACCACCCCACCTTGGTGTTACACCTCCCAGCAAGTCAGTCAATTATCAGTCTTCACTGGAGCAGTGGCCCAGGGAGGCAGAGCCCTGTAAGCCAGTCCTTTCAGTTCTGAACATTGCCGCCCTGCCTGACACTCATGCTTTGGGTGGACAGTGAAGATCCAGACCACAACAGATACATAAAAGGAAGGAAAAAGAAAAGAAAAAGAAGGAAAAAAGAGGGTGGGTAGAAATGCCACAGTTTGGAGGAAGTAAACTTTGCTTTCCTCTCTGTGGGCTGGCAGTGAGCAGAGGCCAGTTGGGGTCTTAGACCTGGGTCATCAAAGAAAATATCAGTCAGGTCGGGGTCTGCACACCCCCTTGAGCATTTCACCTGTGCAGGCGGCACATCTGCATGTGTCCACGGGGGTCTCTCCGTCCTCGTTCAGCACCTCCACTGCCGTTAGGCCAGGCCTCACCACGCCCCCCCCCCCCATCTCGCCGTCCTTCCTCCCAGTTCATCTAGACAGGGAAGGGAAGCTGCTAATAATAATTTTTCTGGTACCATTTTCACAAACAATTTGGAGTGTGACAAACTGATCTTAAAGTTCTCGACGGATGTGCAAGGGGTGCCCTGAAAATCTGGATCAAGAAGAGCAACAAGAGAGGAGTGCTTACGTGCTTTCTCAACAAGCCGTAAAACTAAATAAGACGTTGCCATCAGCGGACACGGGTGCAGGGATGGGCGAGCTGGTCTGTGCACCAACGAGCCGCCCTTCCCCAGCACCTCCATGACAACACCTTTCATGTCACAGAAAATGTCTGCCAGCTCCCCTGGTCCGGCTAATGCCCTGTCCCTCATCCCACGTGGACACCAGTGTGCCCGCCCTCTTTTTAACCACCGTTTGCCTGCGCTGTCTCTAAGAAGGTGCCACAGATGCCTGGGTTAGTTTCTGTACCTTCCATTCTGCTATCTTGGTCTATTTGTCTCTCTTTGCAGGAGTGATTTGTTTCTTTTCTTCTTATTTATCTTTTATTCTCTTTTGGAGAAAGTTCCCTTATATGGATGGATACGAAAACATTTGCCAAATGCTTTCTGCACATGCACTGAGATGATCCTATAACTTCTCTCCTTTCTTCAGTGAACGTGGTGGAATGAATGGATCTTCACGTGTTGAACGAATACTGCATTCTGGGTGCTTTATAAAGGACAGAGGTTTCGTTAGCTCCTGGTCCTGGAAGTCTGGGAGCATGGCGAGGGCATCTGTGTGGCGTCTGGTGAGGACCCTCCTGCTGGGCCGTGTGATGGCAGAGGGTGTCATGGGGGAGAAAGCAAGCATGCCAAGGAGCCACTGCTGGGCCCACCCAGTCCTGAGCCGGTGGCCTCTCAGTGGGCCCCTCTCACTACCTCACTGTGGGCCTCCAACAGGAGTTTGGGTGGGACCATTCGAACCTCAACCATCAGAAATTCTTGTTTCCCAAAACACCCCTGTCATGGGTGGTCTTTCTCTTTTGTTGGCATCTTTCAGATGAATATTTTAAAGTTATCCCATTTGTGGCCACCCCTTCCTTACTGTTCCTCTAGTGGTGACCCTAGAACACCCACGTGTCTCATCATGTCGGTGTCGTTGCCAGTTCCTGTTTCTCGCTCCGGACTGACTTTTCATTGCCTGTTTGCAAATCCTCATCTGCTTCTCTGCCCGCTGTGGTACGAAGGGAAGCCCTGTATGCCGAGGGCTGCAGGGGCACCAGTAAGGACAGTCTCCTCCTCCTGGCCAGCGACAGCTGCTTGCCATGCTCCAGAAGCACAGGGTTTCTCAGTGAGCATCAGACCCTGCTGCTGGCAGCTTCCTGGCACCGTTGGGTGGCTGCACACTAAGGCTCTGCACCCGAGAGGCATTTCCCAGCAAATGGCTTCCCCAGTGCCCCCGTGAGCCCCTCTGAACGAGTTCCGCAGCATTGAGCTGGTTGGCTTTTTCTGGATTTGGCAGGTCCCCATGAAGGGAATCAGCCCCTCCTGCCAACCACCCTCCTGGGTCTCCTTCCTCTCCAGCTCTTGGAGGCAGAAGTGGTGGGAAGTGGTCAGACCTGGTCATGTTTTGAAGGTGGAGGTGACAGGAGCTGTCAGCAGAGTGGGTGTGAGAGCAAAGATAAAGGATGATTTTGCAGCTTTTCATTTGGCTCATAGAAGTGAGATATGAGACATGAGAGGAGGAGAGTGAGGATGTGGGGGCACAGGAAGAAGAGCAAGGAGGGAAGTGAGGACATGGGGACAGAGCATGGTTGACGGCTTGAGGTTCTGGTGACCCCAAGGAACTGGATATCGGGAGGAGAGAACTGGACAGATAGCCTGGGCGTAGATAGACCTAGTGGTGAGAAGCCACACTTGCATTTTAAAATAATCTTTTATTCAGTCATTATATGAATTTTAACATAGATTCTATTGACAAATGTTACATTTATTTTTAGTGATAAGTGAATATATTACTATATAGTGTAAATCACAAAAAAATATTTCCTGGATTCCAAACATTTCTGCTCTGCAAAATATGTGAGGTCAACCAGAAGAATCAAGCTCTATTGGTGTCAATAGGAAGCAGATGTCCAGTGTTGCAATTGCCAAGATTTAAGGAGACAAATTCCACCACATTCTGGAATCTTAAGAATTAAAGAGGTAGAATATATAATCAAAAAACAGGTTTTGATTTTTCAAATCAGTGATGTGCATTGGAAACATCAACACGTAAGACAGAAATCTACTTAACAATCATATTTTTCTAGAAATTAATTTCTATGTCCCAAATAATTATATGAATATCATAAAAATCTACAGTCATTAACAAAAACAGGCAAATCAGTTGCCCATTTGCACCATTTGAAACAATGTTTTTAAGAGTTTAGAAGAGGGTTACTCACTGTTTCAGGAAAATGAATTTTTTTTGAAAATTTAAATTTTTTTAAAACTTTATTTTTCCTGTTTCTTCTATGCTTGGATTCATATCTCAATTTGTTATGCCTTGTTTTGCATACATGGCTTGTTCCTATTGGATTCATTGTTTCCTTCTATTGAGAATTATGGGTGAGATTAACATATATATTAATTATATATAATTTATATATATATATATATATATATATATATATATATATATATATATATATATGGGAACCCAGTACTTCATGCATCTAAGCATATAATCTGGCACTGAGCAACACCCCCAGAAAAATATATTTGCGTATCCGCGTAGTGATCCACAAGTTTTGTAAACATCTCATGAAGGCAGCATGACATCCGATGCTTATGTGATAAAGCGTAGTTTCTCTGGGATAAACCTGTATCAAGGTGGAGCAGGTAAATTCTTGAATTCTTCATGTGCTCTGGCATCCCTGTGAGTGAAAGAGATTGCTAATGAACAACCACTGAACCTTATCTCCATACTGCCCTTTTCTTGTTGCATTGGACACATCTTCGTTCTTGCACGTAGTTTGAGCTCTAGAGCTGCTTTATGGTGAGGGAGAATCTAGGATGTGAACTGGGATGCGACTTCGGACCCTTTGCACTTTGCTGGGTGGCTGCCCATATGTGGCATGGCTCTCCTGTGTGGCTCATAAGGTCCACATGGCCACCACCCACTGCCCACTCAGCCCAAGCCAGTGCTTACAAGCGTGACCTGTGGTGCAGCCTAGTGGGCCTCCTTAGCATGCCCTCTAGCTTAGGATCATGCCCAGAAGACCTAACCCTGCGCCTGTGCTAGACTACAGTGTGGATTCAGGGCTTTGCAACTGAGAAGGATGTAAAAGAAGCTCCGACTTGACCTTTAACTTTATCGGTAAAGACAACGGGAGCCTATCTAAGAGGCAAGTCTCACTGACAGTGGGAGAGAAAGATGCATGTGCTCCTTTCTTGCTTGAAGTCATGATCGCACTGGGTGCGTGCTAAGCACGGGGCTGGCCAAGCAATAGTCTCTAGTTGAAGGGACTCATCATCTATGGGGAGGAACCGTCACCAGCTTATTGATGGAAAATGTGAAGGGATCAGTCGCTGTCTGTGGAACAAATAAACAAAAGCAAGAGTCAAGGGGAGACTGACTCCATAGGAAGACTGTGTGGTCCTTCCCATCACGTGCATTTGGAAACAGTGTGTAACTCGTCTGATGAAAGGACACCTCAAGCCACAGACAGAGTGGCCCCTTCCATGTGTACCAGACAAGCTCCCCTCCTCCACTCCAGAGAAGCCAGAGGTCTACAGGACGCGGAGGGAATGGTTCCCATCTTACTCCGTCTTTAGATTTTCTCTTTTGTTTTGCTGCTGCTATCCTTGTGTGCTCATGATTTATTTCTGAGCACTCACTGACATCTCAGAATGGATTTTGTTTTGTTCACTAATGGCTGTGTGTTCACGTCAACCTGACTGAGGCTTGTGTGGCCCCTGGACTGGATGCCCTCACTCTTTTATTCACTTTCTTTTAAACTTTAGCATCCTTGTACTGTTCACTCTGTCTCAACCCCCGAAAGTCAGGGGCCTGCTAACTTAAGTGACAAAGAGCAGCAGAGTGTCTCCCAGATCCACAGGGTGCTCTACCTGAGAAGTCCCAGGTCCCTCTAACCGCAGTGCATCAGGAAGGACTTCCAGTTGGGTGGAGTCAGTGGCAGTTTTATTTGAAAATGATTCCAAAACCTGTAGGAGACAGAGAGCAGGGAAATACGTTTTGGAAACCCCCACACCTCCCGTTTTGCCAGGACCTTTTGGATACTGCTCTCAGTTTTCCCTAATGCAGCATTTCTGAACTGATCAGGGCTCAGGAGCTTACAGTTTTCAGGGTGTTGAATGCAGAGAGTCCCTCAAAACATGATGAGCCTGTCTTTTTCATGGCATTGTTATGAGCCTTGCTTTAAGGAATTCTCATAGGTGAAAAAACCCAGATTTATATGCTGTACACAAAAGCATTAGGGCCTTGGCTTGGCAAAGGGGCAGGTGAATGTGTCTTGGGGTACATTATTCATAGGATGAAGAACTGGCTTCCTGAAGAACAATTTGGCAGAGGGCACCAAAGGCCTAAGCCCTGTGTTCACCAGGCCCATCAATGACACACCCAGGAGTCTGTCCTCAGGAAATCATTAAGAAAGTGTGCAAGATAGAGCTGCATGCTGATCTGCCCAGCCAGGGGTTGGGACAGTGAAAGGTTGGAAACAACTTAGAGGTCAACCCAAGATGGGCTCCATAAAGTCTGGACATGGGCAGACGGTGTCAGGGAGGCGGGCATCAAAGAGGCTGGGGAGAGTCTGCAGGAATGTGGACAGTCATGATGATAAAGTGTGGAAAGATGCACAGCATTGTCCTATTTTTATAAAAAAATGCATGTGTTTGTGAACAGAAAAAGGACGATTAATTAGACACCAACATGCCATTGCTCTGTCAACGTGATGGGATTATGTGTGGTCTTAACTTTAAAATATTTTTTCAAATTTTCCACAGTGAATTTGTGTGGTTTTTGTAAGGAGAAAACTGTTTGGCAAGCCCACTCATTCTGTTTTAAGAGCAACAAAGATAAATTGGGCCGTGACTGCGTCCTAAGATTCATTAATGCATCCTATCAAAACATGGCACACCAAGATCATCTTCAGCATCTAGGGCCTAGAAGTTCCCAAGATGAATTATTTTCATTAAGAAACCTCTAGAATCTCCCCAAAGTTGCTGCATTCTCCCCCCAATCCTGTCAGGACAGGAAGCTGGGTATATGCTCTGTTGAAAATGAACAAAACTTGGGCGTGCATTTTAGCCGTTAAAAGGCTATGGGGTGCCCTGCGGGTCCCCGTGTATTTGGGTGTTAAGTTGCACAACAGTTGCACTGAAACCGCATTTAAAAACAACAGCAAGGGTACTGCCCTACCCCCAACAATACAGGACATTTTATTGAAAACAAATCTATTTAGAGAAATGCCAAAGGACCCAGAAATGGGCACTGTTATCAAGGGTGACCCTGAGTGGGTGGAGGGTGGGGCAGGAAACAGATGTGGTTTCCTGGGAGGTACCTGGTGGGGTCACTTTGTGTTTTATATACTTCCACCTTCTTCTAAATTTCAAACTATAACATTCAAAGGAAATTTAAAAAAAAAGAAAGTTTGAATAAACGCCTGTAATTGCAGGCTCAAGACAGAAACGAGATGGTGGGTTTTTCTGAGGCATTTTAAATGAGAGGATTAGAAAGCGTGCTCTATTCTTCGGTAATTATTTTCCAAGCGTGAAAATGGAAAATGGCCTTTTCTGAGAGTGCAGTTCAAGTCTTCCAAGTGTGAGTGCAAAGACTTGCACAGTTGTGAACAGTTGTGAAGGCTGAGCGAGCCGCAGGGAGCCGGCCATTCCCACAAACCAGCTCGTCCACCCAGGTCGCCGTCAGGGCTGGGCGGAGGCGAAGGGGGACATGGGGGTTCACTGAATTCAAGGACCGCGTCTTTGCCACCTGAGCCCCCTCCTGGTTCTCGCCTTGCTATCTTGTAAAGCCTTTGCCATTCCCACTCAACACCGCCTCCCGAGTGATCAGGACACTGCTACGTGGAGGGGCAAATGACCCTTTGGCGAGTCCTTTCCCGGCCAGATCTGCCTCCAGAGAGCTCGCTGAGGAAGGGCCTGCCCCAGCGTCCTCTGCTGCGGCCAGGGGTGGGGGACAGGTGCTGCAGACTTACAGGTGGTGGTATATGTCGGGGTCCCGCTGCAGCCGGGTTTGGAATCCTATGTACAGATCATCCCAGAGGAGCCCGTTCTTCACCACGTGTCTGATGACGTCCACCCGGCTGCGAATCTGAAACAGACGGGGAGCAGCTCTCAGGGTGGCCAGGCACAACAGGGCGTGGAGCCCCATGCCCGGGGCAGCAGCTGCCCCAGCCAGCAAGGGGACAGGAGTACGGGGTCACCTGGAGCAGAGAGCATAGCTGAGGGGAAGGGAGGTCAAGAGCAGTGGCATGGAGGGAGAGAACCGGAGGGGAGTCAGGAGTCTGGGACGCAGGGCCTGGAGCCCACTGAGGCAGACCGCTGGTTCCAATCCAGGTTTCAGCGGTGCAGCCTGGGTACCTTCTGTGCCTCACGTGCAAGTGGAATGAACCCAATAGAGCATTCCTCATAGGACTGTCATGAGGATTATATGAGCCAGTGCAAATAAAATTCTTAAAACAAGGCCTGGCGCATAGTAAGAATTGGACGCGTGTTTGTGATCATGGTTATTACAAAGCAGAGTGTCCACTTCTCCACCTGGACGTCCAGGGTAACACAGAGCCTGCAAGTTCAGGGCAGCCTGTGTGTGTCCAGCCTGCGGCAGAGCTGGACTGCTTACTTCAGCAGGTTAGGACCTGACCCTTAAGCATCCTCCACTGCTAATACTGTTGGATGGTCAGAGTAGCACAGGACCAGAGGGGGCAGATGGCGCGTGTCTCCACCTGTGTGGAGTAACTGTGTGCTCTCACGCCTGTGGAGGCTTGGCTTCTCTATTAGGAAACTGAAGAGAGACAAAAAGTGAATTCATATCAGCAGCAGGAAGGGATGGTATCCTGAGACTGGACAGGTTCTAACAGTCTATCTGTCAGAACCTGCGTAGCATTTACAGAAGCTTAAGGATCAGCCTCACATTTCTCTTTTCCTGATAAATACCCTGTAAAAGCCCATGAAGGCAAACTTTCATCATCGACAGGTGTCATATTCAAAGGCACGGATGACTGGAGATGGGCGTTTGGATCTATTTCCCTTTCCAGCTCCCTTCCTGTACAACAATCATATCATTGTGAACTGAGGTTACGAGAAGTTAGAGGATCTGTGTCTTTGCCGGGAGAGATGTAGAAACATAATTCTCCAGTTGCGTTGGGTTAGGGTGGCCTGGCTAGGGTGCTGTGTGGGGACTTCCTTATTTCTAACCAGGAGAGGAGCTGTGTGATCTCATGCCAGTGGAGGCTTGGCTTCTGTATTAGGAAACTGAAGAGAGACAAAAAGTGATTTCATATCAGCAGCAGGAAGGGATGGTATCCTGAGACTGGACAGGTTGTAACAGCCTATCCGTCAGAACCTGTGTAGCAGGTAGTATCTGTTCCCAGGACTGTGTCGGATTCAGTGACTTAAAACTTGCAACCAGAAAAAAAAAAATGGAGAATTGGGGGGTTGATCTGAGAAATAGCATGTAAAATGAGGTCTTGGAGGCTGATTAGATTTGAGGATGAGGGAACAGGAAGAGTTGGGATGGTGTCCCTGTTTCCGCCGTGGCTGACTGGGGACCCATGATGCCCACGACCAGATAGAAAGGCAGACAGGTCAGTTTTTAGAGAAAGGAGATGACAGGTTGGATTTTGAACTGGTTGAAAATGAGGTACCAAGCATTCAGAAATCGGGGTGATGGTATCAGCAGGCAGTTGACAGCCAAGAATCCAACACATGACCAGAGCACGGAGAAGTCCAGGACGGACGTGGATCTGGGGATCCTTAGCAGAAAAGTAAAGTCAGCAGATGAGTTCACTCAGGAAGAGACTGGAGGAAAACAGTGGTTTGTGCACACATTCTGGAGGGAAAGAAGAGGTTCTGGATGCAGAGGAGGTACTCTGAAGAATGCCCGAGAGGCACAGGAAGGGAGGGAGGACAAGGGCACTGTGTCACCGGAGCTCAGGACAAGATTTGTCATACATCCCCTGCCCCCTCTGCATTCCCAGACCCAACCAAAATGTTGACCAAGCAATTACACAGGTGCAAGCTGCCACGGTGAAAAGGAAGGGGGTCACTGACCAGAGAGTCCACCTAGTTGAGCAAATAGACAGTAGGCAGACAACACCCCTTTTGCTCAGGATGGAGGCTGCAGAGCGGATGTGGAAGTAGCCTGGACAAGGAGGGCGCAGGCAGGGACCACAGATGAGCAGAAATGCATGTCCACCAAACAGCTGGCCCCTCACCTACCCCCACGCACGGTCCTCACCGTATACGTTCAGATGGTTCTCTGAACGCACGGACTTGATGTCTGGGGAGAATGAGAGCAGAGTATGTTTGTGAAGCTCAAAACAGGGCCTCCCCCCCATTTGGGCACAGGGTCCCCAGCCTATGGATGGTTCCTCACCTTCATGACTCCAAGCACACTGGTGACCCCTGAGCAAAAGGGTGTTGTCTCACCAAGTCACAGTCCTTAACACATTTGAATTAACTATCTACATTTCTGTATATTTCACATGAAAATCTGTATTTTCAAGTTCTCTGTAAAACCCAGAGCTGGAACTCAGTAGGGCTTGCTGGCTTATGATCTGGATTTGCTTTCCACATGATGCCATCCCCACCCAGCTCCATCCCTCTGTGAGACCTGCCATGGGCCATTCTGAGCAGTGAAGTGTGGGGTCCGCACCTTCAGGTAAAGTCCACGGGTTACAAATCCTGCCCTATGCAGCCGGCCTGAAATTAGTCTGCCCATGTCTTTTTATTGGGAAACAAGGACTCATCATTTTTAAAGTCATCTACAAAGGAGGAAGGGTCAGCTGGCATCCGTCGTCTTTGGAGTAACTTTGCATGCCACTGGTGTCTATGGGAAGGTTAGCCACCTACAACCCCACGTCGGCCACGCTGTCTTGTAACCCAGGCAGTGGGGGAAAGGTGCCCTGTCTCAGGCTGCTGGTGAAGCAGAAGTCCAGAAAGAGGAGGAGCAAGGACGGGGAAGACATGGAGGGTCTGGAAGCAGCAGAGGAGGTGGGTTTGCAGCAGACCCGGAGCTCACCCAGACTGGAGAAGGAGAAAGGCGGGCCTGAGTCTAGGGACAAAAAAGAACACAGTTACGGCTTTGCAAGGCAATTAAGGCAACAAACAAACAAACACACACAACAAGGATGGAAGCAATATGAGAAGGCTCTAAGTCCCACAAAGAGGGTCTTTTCCAAGTGTAGACGCAAACCACATGTATGGTGTTCTCACTCAGGCCCTAGGAGGTACCACCCACGAGCCCCACCACAGCCCACCGAGGGCCCAGCAGGCACGGTTTACCCCACAGTGTGTTTGAATCTGCAGGAGAGTCACCACTCTATCCAGTGGATGTATTATGAAAAGCTTTGAAAAAGCGACTTGTTATCAAGTTAGATATTTTAAATGACCTTGTGTTAACCCTTGCAAAGGTGATTCTCCTGTAAGACTAGCAGACACCTTAATCTAGAGGTTTTCTCAATCCAGACATGAGTGCCCACACAGGGGCTGAAAGGATCCACTCTGGAGCTTGACTGCTTGAGCCCAATGCCCTGCACCACAATTTACCCGCTGGATGATGACCTTGGTGAGTGATCTCACTCCTGAGTATCACATCGTAGAATGGGACAAGAGTAGTATCTGTACCTAGGGCTGTGTCGGATTCAGCGACTTAATACTTGCAACACGTGAAATTGGGCTTGGCATAGAACAAGCTAGGTAAATGTCATATAACAAATCTTGAGAAGATTCCTTTTGCTTAAGATGGGAGTAAACGTAGCCAGGCGTGGTCCTGTTCACTTGCAGTCTCTCCTATTCAGGAGGCTGAGGAGGGAGGATTGCTTAAGCCCAGGAGTTCAAGGCCTGGCAACATAAAGATATTCCATCTCAAAAAAATAAAAATAAGAAAAGTGTAAACCCATTCCTAATCCATACGGTGCTTTGTGCAGGGCTCTTACATGTAAAACCCCAGTTTTCCAAGACCTGTGAGTCAGGTAGGTGATTATGGGTTTTACTGAGGTTTCAGCATAAGGTTCTCTTCAATAGCAAGTACTTCATGAAATGTAAAGATCCAAGCCAATGTACTAGAGTGTAATTTAAGAGCATATCGATTACCTCTGTTACAATCAGGGCTTCACACATTTAAATGGTACCTGCAAAAAACTCAAGGGCAGACTGTATGCCCTTGAAACTTACCTAGTGACTCCAACACTCATACAGAATTCTACTTTGCAAGGCACGCTCATGTATATTATATCATTTGATTAATGCATCCACCCGGTGGGAACATGCCCCATGGAAGGGAAAAGCCAAGGTGGCAGGTGAAAGAACTTGCTTAAGCCTCAGAACCAGAGACCATGACCAGCAGGGCTGGGCACCAGTCCCAAGCTTGGCCATCTCCCAAGCCTTGGCTCTCTCCTTGACCCCGTGCTGCTGAGGGGTCTGCTCAGAACTGGAGTGTGACAACACACTCACACATGGGTTTATGTTGACTTCCTTCACTGTGACACCCAGTGGGTCCACCTGGGGGAGGAGACGCCACTGGACAGAGGAAAAGCGAGGTCTAACAGCAGCTGAGACCGAGGGTGTTTGGAAGGAAGCAGGTGGGAAGCCAGTCTCCACAGATGGCTCAGGAAGAGGCAGAGGGGCACTTGAGCTAAGAGAGGCTTGTGAGCTGGGACAAATACACAATCTCAAAGTAGGGGGTCAGCAATACGCGTGCTGTCCCTGAAACGCTGCTAATCTAAAGTTATTGTAAAACCAGAAAGGGAGAAAGGAGGAAGGCCGGGAGGGGAGGAGGAGGAAGGGAGGGGGAGGCAGGAGGCCCCTCCACCGATGCTGCTTACCTCCTCATAGGGATGCTCCCGGCTTGGTCTTTCTTCAGGAAAGGATAAATCCAGAAAGTCCACCAAGTAGTCATACCCTCCAGGAAAGGGGCTGAAGTCCTCATCCGTCTCGATCATCTGTGCACATGGAAGGGGAACATCTACTGGGGGTCGAGGTCTTTGACAAACCCTAAGAATGTTGGGCCCGATGTCCTTGAAGGACAGCAGTGTGTTGGCAGTTGGGTTAGTCCCCCTCCGACCCCCAGGCCTGGAGGACATTCGAACCCTAGTCTTCTACAAGCAGAACTGCTTGCTACCACTACCTTCAGTCCGATTCACAGAGCAGGCCGTCACGATCTTAAGCACACCAGGTGAGGGATAAACAAAACGTGGGCTGCTTGTCCGTCTCTGGGCAGCCACGCATCAAGTCTCATAGAAAGCTGCAATGTTTCCCCTCATTTCCATACTAATTGTCCACGTGAAATATCATTTAGACCCATGGTTCCCAGGTCTTTGGATTTCTTTTTTTTTAATCTTTATCTATTTATTTATGTTTATGTGGTGCTGAGGATCTAACCCAGGGCCTCGCACATGTGCTAGGAGAGTGCGCTGCCGCTGAGCCACAACCCCAGCTCCCAGGTCTTCAGATTTCAAAGACGATTTCCTAAAAACATCTGGGAGCTAACCCAGGTAACAGCATTTTATTTTGCCAAGTGATGACTTGGGAAAAAAGTCTGACATCTGCTGTCCTTGTACGTCACTCAAGGAAGATGGCAGTGCCTCGAAAACAATCTTGGAACACTAATAATTCATCCCAGGAAAAGAGGTGATATCTCTGTACCAACATGCATAACCACATCTTTACTTTTTTCACTACTGACCAGCAAAAACGTTGTCACAGACGGGCAATGACCCCCAGGGAGGTTTTGGGGAGTCATGGTTTTTGAGCAGGGTGCTGCGTGGCATTAATGTTCAGGGATTGATAGGTAATCTGGGGAACAGCTGTCTCCCTGAGGGTGACCGACACTTGTCTCTAGGGCCTGAGGTTTGTGCATTCCTGGTGCCATCCCTAGCCTTTGCCCCACTACGTGGCCTTGGCTGGCTGCTCGCTGACCTGGCAGTCCTGATGCCCATTTCAGGCCCCTTTCCCTGCACCCCGTCTGCTGGTAGCTGATTTGCCTTCGCGTACACCTCCAGCTCTGCCGTCGGGTTTTAACCTGAGCTCTTGTCTGGTTGCCCTGTGCACTGCTGTGGCCGGGGTGTGTCCGACCTAGCCCGACTCTTGGTGCCTTCTGTCCTCAGCACATCTGTGGGTACGAATTACCTGCTCTGTCTCCTCTCCCTTGTCTCCACCCTCTGGGTGGCTCCCACCTCCTCGCCCCCCTGTTTGAGTACTCATCCCTGCCATGCCAAACACCGAGACCAAAATGAGACACCCACAGACAGACACAGACGTTGGCAGCCCACAGTGATAGGAGAGAACGGATGCCTCCAAATAAAACTGCGCTGGACTTCAGAGCAGTCCCCACTGCACAAGGAGGGGATGTTTTTCACAATGCCAGATCTGTTCTCTGCCAGGCGGGCGGCAGGGCGTGATGACGCTCACTGACAGACAGATTGGTAGACAGAGGGGACTCCGTGTATCCCCACCATGCGAGGGAGCAACAGTGAGGCATACCCTGACCACCAGGTTATAATTCTTAAATCCAGCCCAGGTGAAGTATTCCTTTATCCAGGATGGGTGCAGAAAGATCTCGTCGCCTACAGCGGCATGCAGGGTGTCCAGGTATGGCTGGAAGTCCCAGGAATCCTTGTAGATCTTGGTCCCTTCTGGAGGCTCCACGATGCCCTTGCTTAAAGACACAGAGGGACAACAGTGAGGGGAGAGTGCGAGGCGGGGAAGGCAAAGGCCTCCGGAGCAGAGGCTGAGGCTGCTGGAAAGTTCCGCCTGAGCCAGGGGCAGGGTTCCTCCAGCCGGGCCTCCCTGAGGAGTCCTGTCCACGCCTCCTGCTCCTTCTCTCACCAGCCCTGAACTCAGGCACGTGAGACCCCCGAGGGCAGGGACTTCCCCACAGCTGTATGCCCTGTACCCGTGTGAGGTCTGGTGAACGGAGGCGCTAAATAAATCATTCCTAAATCAACGCATGTGTCCATCACTCTGAAATTCCTACACTCACAAAATGCACAGTGCTATTATCCCCTTCTCCAGCACCCACCACTGCCTCTGGCTGGAGCCCCCTGTCCCTTCCCCTCCTCTCCCCATCCCCATTCCAGCCTCCCCCTCCTAAGACATCCCTAAATGCCAAAGACTGCAGAGGCACCTCTCCTGTCCCCTCCAAAGGAGGCCTTAAGCTCTTACTCTCTGTGTCCCTTATGCTGAGTGTTAGCACTGAGACCCAACACCAGTGGCTCTGGCTTCCCAGAAGCCCTTGGTGTGGCACCAGGCTACAAATGCAGATTCCTGGGCTCCACCTCAGATCTATGGATTCGGAACCTGCACGGGAACCCAGGGAGCTGCATTGTAAGTCCCTCCGGCCTCTGATGTTCACTCAAGTTTGCTAATGAGTGCAGCAGGATGCCTCTGGGGCTCCGGGGAGATGACGAGCCCAGTGCTGAATGATGAGAGCGCCTGGGCGCCACTGATAACCACCTCTCACGCCTGACCTGAAGAGGAGAGCCACTTCTGTCCTGGGGACTTTGGGGACATCTTGAAGAAATTTTAAGCAGGGAAGGAACAGGAATGGTTTTACAATGGAGAAAGATTCACTTGTCAGCAATGAGGACAGGAGCTTTCAAACATTTAGCCTCTAGTCCCAGCGAGAGCTGCCTCTACATCAGAATCCACGAGCCAGGGCTCTCTGTGAACAGAGGTTTCATGAAGTAATACCCTTCTTAGGTGCAGTGTCCGCAGGCCTTTGCTATTTTGTTCTGTTCTGCTCTATTCCTCCATTCCACCCCATTCTGTCCTTTAATGGAGATGCGTTTGTGGGAGGTGACACTGATTTTACAACCCCCCTCTGGTGTGGGACCTGCAGACTGAAAAATGCCTGCATGGAGCTGGATGTGGGGGTGGGGGACAGGTGCACACACAAGTCAGGGTCACTGTAGGCAGCCAGGTGAGGAGCTGTGAGCAGTGGGATTGAGGCCGAGGCCAAGATGCTGCAGAAGAAAGATGGACATGTAAAAACTTCATGAAGATTGACTGGGAGCTAGTTTGGGTGGAAAGCCAGCCGACGGGCAAAATGGTCTGACTGACCCTCCATGCAGACGTGGCAAGGCTGGGCCAGGGGTGCACGGCCCTCCCCCAGATTAGTGCACTTCTAATCCCGGGAAGAAACCTGGGCTGCTGTTTGGCTCAAGGGGAGGATTTAAGTCCAGGTTTGTGCCCTCAGTGTGAACCCTGCTGTTTGTGACCTCAGTGTGACTCACACTGCCTGTTCGGAGGAGCTGCCTGTGGGCCAGGTGGTCGGCAGGGTCTGCGCTGATGGGAAGACGGGCTTTCTTGTTTGTTGTTTTTACTTATATAAAGCAACATAAATTTTGTTAGAGTCTGTAAACAAGTCAGGATGGCGCCTGGCATTTTGCAGAGAGAGTGGTTTGTGAAGTAACGCCAGCGAGCCATTAAGTGTGGAGATTCCTTATTGGTTGACTGCTGTATCTAGTTTATGTTATTTAAGATAAGCTGTGTGGAATGTATATATACCCCTCCTGTCCTGCAATAAACGGCTCCCACTCCTGCTGTATCAATCTACACAAGTTGCTCGTCACCCACCGGTTATTTTGCTGCAGCCGGACTGCGGCAAAATTTGAGCTGATCCATATCAGAAAATAACTTACTCTTCACCCTTTAGTAAGGTGAAGATGAAATGTTGGAAGCAGACTGTCTTCTTTTCCCTGAGATTTGAAACATATGTATTAGTTTACTTAACTTAAATAATAAGAGCTATAGTTTTCAAGGTGCTATGTGAATCTCATGGCATAGGAAGCTTAATAAACAACTCAGCAGACTCCAAGACAGGAGCCTGTCCAGAGTGAGAGAGAAGCCCTTTTTTTTCTCAAAGTACTGAAACACATTTATAAAGCATTTTCATCTTCCATAAACATTCAAGACAAACCTGTCTGTTGGGTCCTTCAGCATCCTGCCCAGGTCAAGGGTGGCTCCAGGCCGTGGGGTCCACGTGAGCACATCAGAGTTTTTCTTGATAAGGTTGTTGAGTTGAGTTGGGTCATTTTTGATGTTTGTTTCCTTAATGTATCTGAGAAGAAGGGCATTCCCATGTAAGAAGGTTTCTTCCCAGAGGCTGCTCTGACTATGACAGTGACAGAGTCCCCCCTTCTTAACAGCCACCCCCATCAGTCCACGGAAACCTGAGGGCTGGACTGGAAGGTGTGACAGACAGAGCTTGTCTCCACAATGCCTCCCGAGAGCGCCACCTCTACCCTGCTCGCTGTAGGCAGAAGGAACCTCAGGTCTAGAAAACTGGCTGGGACCTGAGTGGGCAGTCCAGCCCAGGACCCACACAGCCCCAGCAGGCATGGCTGCAGGGAGGGGCTTCCCCCAACTCCAGGCAAGTCTGAAAAGTCCCTGGTTCAAAGCCATTAAGAACCCCCCACCCTCAACACCCCTGTCCTGAGACCACACACATGCTCAGTCACAATCCATCCTGGACCCAGCTCCTACTGACCCCGGCGGGGGGGGGGGGGGCGCTCCCAGATCTGACACCAAACCAGGACCTCTCTCGAGAGCTGTAGCTTTTCCAACTCTGTGTCACACTGGAAGGCAACTGGTGGGGCAGGGGCAGGGAGAACGGGAGGCCAAGGCGTGGTCTGGGCAGACAGCCGGTTACGTGCTACGCCGTGGCTGCCTGGACTTGGAATGCTCAGGTGAGACAGACAAAGCACACGGAAGCATTTGTAGCTTGGAATCAATGAGCAGACGTGAGCAAAGTCGTTGTCTCTGCACCCACAGGCGTCCAAGCCCTTCCCTTTCGGTCCCCATCAATGTCCCCCCGTGACTGAGGTCCTTCATCTAAAGGCAGGGCCACCACTCTCTCTTCCTCTTGCTGCCGTTGGACTCCCTGCCTTCAGTGTCCCATCTCGAGCCTCTTCCTAAAACACCATGTGTGGCATCACCAAATTCCACAACTTCTCGATGCTTTGCTTTCTCTAGAGCCATGACGAAATCCACGTCTAGAGGCCGAGCTCTGAAGGGCACGGTGGTGCTGAGGGTGACGTCCGCCAGCTGCTCACATACAGACTTGCTTTCAGTCGCCTCCAAAGGCAGCCTCTGGGTAGCATGTCAACCCCCTCCCTCCTCTCCAAGTCCCTGCAATCCCTCATCACATTTCTTCCCTCTGAGTTCTCGTCCCTGTCCCCGTCCCTTGTCACAGGATCAGCCCTCCTGTCCTCTCCACCATACAGACATGCAACCTGGCGTCTAGTTGTGTCCCTGCTCCTCACTGGATGCCCTGTTGGCTCCCCACCCCTCCAGGGTGCAGTCCCAGACATGCCCCTCCCCTGCCCCTCACAGACCTCTATTCTCCCTGCTGGCTGCAGCCTCCTGTCCACACCTGTTCACTTTGCTGGTCTGTGACCACCCAGGAGTCCTTTGCTCACCACCACCTGTGTGCCCTTGGCCATCAGAACATTCATCACGCTGTATTCAAGTGTCTCTCTTCCAGTAAACCATAACTGGGGACGGCCACTGACCTCTAGTCCCCAGCGCCTAGCACAGGCCTGCTCACTACATGGAAAGTGCTGGGTATAGTGTGCACACTTGTAGTCCCAGTGACCTGGGGGCAGCTGAGGCAGGACAATTGTGAGTTTATGGCTAACCTCAGCAATTTAGGAAGTCCCTAACCAACTTAGACCCTGTTTCAAAATAAAAATTTAAAAAAGGGTTGGGACTACAGCTCAGTGGTTAAGGGTACCAGGATTTAATCACTAGTACCACCCCCTCCCAAAAAAAAAAACAATAAAAAAAACATAAAATAAGATAACTGATACATGACTGAGGGACAGCATTGATAAAATAAATCATTTTGGGGGGCTGGGGTTGTGGCTCAGCAGTAGAGCGCTTGTATAGCTCTTGTGAGGCCCTGGGTTTGATCCTCAGCACCACATAAAAATAAATAAAATACAGGTATTGTGTCCATACAACTAAAAAATAAATATTTTTTTAAAAAGTTTTTTTTTCAGCAAAAGTGTGAATATGGTAAAAAAGAAACAAAAAGCATCTTTTAACCTTAGGCCAATCCTACTGAAGAACGTCAGGAAGGTGTGGGGCAGCTCAGTGATGTCCACGGGAAGGCTAAAGGAAGGGGACACACCAGAAAAGGCCACACGGAGTGACCGCACATGTAGCTAACTGGCTTCAAAGTGGCGAGTCGTGCTTTAAGGATGAGACAGATGAAGTCTGAAGTGGGCAGAGCACTGGTCCCAACAAGCGGTGCAGAACCTGGACTGCACGCAGCCCGCGGCTCTTACTGTGCTGTCTGTGGCCTCCGGGGGACAGGAAGCCGGAGGCAGCCTTACCTGAAGGTGGTCATGAAACAGGCTGCAAAGGGTTTCCTGACAGCAGTAAAGTCAGATAAGCAGAGAGGCGTGGCTCTGCAGCAAGGGGGCGAACCTCTCGCCAGTACGTGGCAGCCTCTCCCTGGATGGGAAACCCATCTCAAAGTGGATTTTGTGAAGCAGGTGGTAGCTGCTCATAAAGACACTCTGTGAGGGCCTGAGTCACGAGTTCACTCAGGATCCCATAAACTCTATCAATGGGATCATAAAAGCAAAGTTCAAACATCTATACAGTTTTATTTAGCATTTCAAATAATAAAACTATGCTCCAAATCCTACTCAATGGGTAGATATCTTCTGTTGTTTCTACGAGAGATTGTGAATGCTATAAAATGTGCAAATACCAACTTATGGCCTCACAGATATGATTTAAGTATATTAGCTTCACCTACCATGGCTTAATGGGAGGCCTCCTTAGGAACTGTTCACCTTTTTTGCTCTTTAATTTCCATGTTTCCTGAGAGGCAGTTATTTGAATGGGGCGGGGGGGGGGGGGCTCACTCCTATGGCTTCAACGCACAGTTCTCCTTGAGCTTCCCTCTGTAATCAGACGCCCCAAGCCCTAACTCCTGTGCACAGCCTGTTCTCCAACCCCTGGCTTTGCCCTTTCCAGGATGTTGTATGAACAGAGTCAAGTGGAGGGCAACCTTTGGAGACTGGCTTCTGCCATCCGTGGTGCCCAAGAGGCACCTGTGCCCTGTACACAGAGGTTGCTCTTACACTGACTGAAGCCCCTGCATGTTGACCCACCCACCTGCTGAAGGTCAGCTGGGACAATGTGTTGACTAGGAATAAAGCTGCTATTCATGTTTTTGCATAGCATTTGGTAAATAAAGATTAAATAGCTTTAGAGTAAATACCCGGGGGTGGAATTCCTAGATCGTGATGCAAGGTTACCTTTAAAGAAGCTGCTAACCCCTTTTCCAGCTTGCTAACAGTGGTAAGTGTGTGTTCCTGTCACTCTGTCTCCTTGCCAGGACTTGGCATTGTGGATTTTCCAGAAGGCTATTAATTCTAATAGTCAGGGGCACTGTGGTGTTGACTTGCCTTCCCTGATGGTTGGTGCCTATGAGCATCTTTTCATAGCTAATTTACCATCCATAGATCCTCTTTGGTAAAGTGTCTGCTAAAACATTTTGCCCATTTTTTACTTTCTTACTTCTTATTTTTAAAAATTATTATTTGAAGTTGTGGTCTTACTGCTGAGTATTAAGAATGTATCATGTACTGTGAACACTAGTTTGGTAATATATTCTGTCTGTAGTTGGCCTTTCTGTTCTTTTGAGTTTCCTTTATACATCAAGATTTATTAATTTTTATAATGTTCTGTTAATTTTTTTGTCATGCTTTCAATGTCATATCTAAGAAGTATCTAACTCATGGTCATAAAGATTTTCTTCTACAAGTCTTACAGTTTTATAAAATTTACATACATGTCTATGATTCATCTCTACTTTTTGTATATATGGTGTGAGGTTTAGAGGTTCTCTTTGCAGATCATTGTGAAATTGCTCAAATAACATTTATTAAAGACTTTCCTTTCTCCAAGAGATTGCTTTTTTTGCATCTGTATTTCCCCAAATTGTACCTTTGTCAGAATCAGTTGGCCGTGCTTTGTGGATCATTTCTGGATTCCCTGCTCTGTCCTGTTCTGTGTGTGTCTAGCCCGTCACCAACACCACCTGATCTTGATTTCCATAGCTTTACAGTTTATCCTAGAATTGGATGGCATGCATCCTCCAGCTTAGTTTTGTGTTGACAGAATTGTTTTGACTAGTCTAGTTTCGTTGCCTTTTCTGAGACTGTCTATACCCACACAATATCCTACAAATCAAAAACTATAGCAAGATTTCTTCTCACTCCAATCAGAATGGCAATTACACATCAATGTGTTTAGCTGTGCAATTCACAATAGCCAAGTAATGGAACCAACCCAGGTGCTCTCCAACAGACAAACGGATAAAGAAAATGTGGAATGTAGACACAATGGAGTTCTACACAACCATAAAAAAGAATGAGATTATGGCGTAAATGGATGAAACTGGAGAATATCATGCCAAGTGAAATAGGCCAGACCCAGAAAGTCAGAGGTTGAATGTCTCTCTCCTGTGTGGAAGCCAGAAAGAAAAAAACCAGGAAAGGGGAACCAATCCTATGAAAAGAAAAGAGAGACCAGTGGGAATTGAGGAGGAGTGAGAAGGGACGGGAAAGGGAGAAATGGCAGAATGAAATTGCCTCAAACTATCTTTTGTACATACATGAACATACCACAGTGAGTTCCACACTTATAAAAACTGTAAATAAATAGAGACAGACCCACAGAATAGAGGAAAGGGAACAGGGGGAGGGAAAGGGGAAGTACTGGGAACTGATGGTTTAGGGCAAATTGTATCCCATGCTTGTATAATTGCCAAAATAAACCCCAATACCATGGATAACTACATAACTACTACTAGTTTTTTAAATCAGTGTTATTTTATGCTCAAAAGTTGGTTAGAGCTGGACACGGTGGTGCACACCTATAATCCCAGCGGCTTGGGAGGCCGAGACAGGAGAACTGTGAGTTCACAGCCAGCCTCAGCAACTGTGAGGTGCTAAGCAACTCAGTGAGACCCTGTCTCTAAATAAAATACAAAAAAAAAAAAGGGCTGGGGATGTGGCTCAGTGGTTGAATGCCCCTGAG